TAGGCCTAGCCTTGAAGGGACGAAGGTCCAAATGATGAAAAACGTCGCTCCTTGATAGCTAACATTGTCTATTTAACATCACAATAATTCATTATTAGGCCTATAGTTGTTTTTTGAATTGTACTCCACAAATCTCAGCTGATACCTCGCACAACAATTTGAGTAATGTCTCGTATCTATTGTCGTGACGTCATGACTCGCTGGCTCACACTTGCGATGTCTCGCACTTGTGATCAAATAACACGCTGGCTCACACTTTGGCAACACTCTTTGGCAGTCAACTCGCTCCTAGAAAACCTACCCTTGGAAACTTGCCCCATAAAAAAATGTACACTTCCTATACCATGCAGTCTTCAAAATTAAAATTGTAACCTTTGGTAATCAACTACATTTAAATTTTTGAAACTTTATTAAAAAAACCTAAACCATAATTCACCACTATAGACACTTTTTGACAAAAATGAAAAATTACGACTTTGTTACCCAATGAGAAGTGTTCTAATATAGACAATGGGTCGTGTCTCATATTATTTGTTATATTTTTATTATTCATTATTTTCACTTGACTCGCATAAATAATTTTGTTTGAAGAACATTTATATGCAGTTGTACTTCGCAGCACTTCACTTGCAATTTGCAATTTCTAGTTAACTTAAACTTATTTTGTACTATTTTTTGTGAGATTTTCACTGTTACGTGATCGAACAAGTGCTTTGTAAGTTTGTACTGTGTGTATGTATGTTGTTTAAGTATATTTCTATCATACTGACAGTAACACTGGCATTTTCGTGAATAAATAAAGTTATGAATAAATGAGATCTTAATGTTAATGATGCCAACATCACTTCAAGCTTATGATTACATTTTGCTATTTACGTACAGGGCGAACTGAATGATGTGTACATACCATGCAATATTGAAGGTATGCCCATGCCTGTGTGTCTTTTCCTTTCATCCAATGTACAAGGATTGAACATTTCATACTCAATAAAGGATAGCCAATCTGTGATGTAAGTAAATACAAATATTACCTCCTCACTTAATCTGATTTGTAATAACAAAATGATGAGGATGCCTTTGTTGATTTTCCTATTCTACCTGGTTTTCCTATAGTTTCTGGCCTTCATTGTAGATGTAAACAATTACAATGAACCAAATTATATTCTTTAGTTTAGATTTTTTATAATTTTAATTTTCACTATTTTCAATTTGTACAATGTAATACATCCAATAGATTGTTTTATGTCTCATGCAACAATGAATAAAATCTTGATCTTAATCAAAATTATTGTATATTTCCATAGAATTGAAAATGATGATCTGAGTCTAGATTTTGGTGAGGATGTTGAGGTATGCACTGTAACCAAACGATTTGTATGTATAAAGAATCAGACAGCAATTGAAGCTCCTTACCATATTCTTGTCAGCCGGTTCCCAGCAGGAAAGCCTCCGACCCCACCAGATGAGAGTAAGGATAAAACTAGGAGGTACAGTGCTTTTAGTTTCTGTCACCGCTATTTATAACATCTAGCCTTAATAAATTTATCACTGGAGAAAGTAGGCCTTCCATTGCTACATAACCTGGTATATTGACATATTTCCTTAGTTGATCCACATGTATTTTTAAAAACTCAAATGTTGAATTGTGTATTAATTGTATGATAGGCGGAGTCTTCTGAATCGTACACCTAACATTGCTGATCCAATGAGCAAAAGCCCAGCTAAGAAGCAAGCTGACTTTAGCAAAGCAGTGCTGCATGACGGCAGAGGCCTAGCCTTTGTGGTTCATCCATCCAGTGGAGTACTTGGTCCGTTTGCTGAGCTGAATGTGGAAGTTAGTGTTTATGCTGATATGTGGGGACAGTACTCAGATGACCTCATCTGCAAGGTAAAGCGGGTTAAGAGATTATAAATAACATACAATTGTTTGATCCAAATACTGCAGTAAAAAGTAATTTAAAGTGCCTACATGGCTCACAGTTGGCTAAACTGGCGGTAGGAACTGTGCGTAAGCTGAACCGTGGATATTTCTTCCACTGCTCTGTTTCAGCTGGTGGACTGAAATGCAAGTTTCAATACCGCACTCTCAAATGAAAGCCATTGGTCCTGTGTACAATATGGTTCATGTGCATGTTTAAGAATGGAATACACTGTTTGAAAAAGAGTAGGTTAATGCCTCCCGGTGTATAGCCCCATTCACTACCAGAAGGACTCCACTGGAAATTAGACTTTATTAATCCATTCCAAATCCAGTCTAATTCAATCCCAATTTAATTCTACAGGTGTTCCAACAATATTATTTAATATAAATGTTTATTATTATGTATTGGGAGTTCAATGTAGTTATGTGCTGAAAGCTTACAAGTTGTTAAGCAGATTGCATATATCTTATTTTATCTTATGTTTTCATAGGTTGGAGCTTTAGAGAATGTTGTGATTCCAATGAAAGTCTCTATCACAGGATGCCCCCTCAACTTCCAAATGGCTTCGTTGAAAGGTCAAATACCAGTGGTGCGATTTGGGACCCACATTCCTGGTGTAGCAACTATTAAGAGACCTCTGCGTATTATAAATAAGAGTCCATTTGGTAAGTGTCATTTATCATTAAGTGACCTCTATGCATCAATGAACACAAATTACGTTTCACATCTACCCCATTTTTGTCACGGACCACGAGCATACGCAATTCAGCACAATGACGCTATCTATTCTCCTACCATTATCAGCTGTCAATATTGTAGTAGTTGTATTAAAAGACTCTCTTGGAAATCACTTTTTATAACATAAAAATATTTAAAATGAGCATCAATAAATATATTTAACTTATTAGTATTATTATCATTGTTATTATAGATATTTTTAAACACATAGACCAGGGCTTGTGAATAGAGTGTGCAAAAAATGTAAAAAAATGTAGATGTTAATTATTGGATGAACAAAACCCCTTTTATAATTTTAACTGAGTATCAAATCTTTTTGGTTGTATAGATGTAAGAGTTGACTGGGAAATATATAACCTAGAAGAAAATGACAACAAACTGCTAGACATGATCACCAGTATTGGTGACCCATTTCCAAAACGCGATGAGAACGGACTTGAAATCATTCCTACTGCCAAGGAGGAAGCACTGAGGCTAGAAGAAAAACCCATTGAAGAGAGCACAATACCACAGATTCAGGCAGCAGTACAACCTGGCAACCACCAGGTTATTCCAGATTCAGAGCACCCTGAAGAAGAGAGGAACACACAACCACGATTAATTCGGGTTCAACTGAAAGAACATGAAGGAAATAGAACAGAACAGCCGTTTGGAATCACATCCAAACAAATGGTAACTACTAGTTTTCTAGGTTTGTATATTAAAAAAGTGAATGATGCCAGCCTCATTACTTGTGATTTATAAGTGTGTTTATGGCTGCTACTGCTTATCTTCAAAATATTACTGTATATCACTTATACCTGTATGTACCATACGTGCCAACCTTCGTTCGAAATGGACTCACCGTTCCTAGTTTCTCCGAAAACTCACCATAAATCACATCCACAGGGTTTCTTCACTTAAGCACCTGTGATTTGAAATCGGCTTCCACTAAACATATGTCAGTGTTCATCTCTCCACCAATTCAAGTATCTCCTTAAAAGTCATGTTCTAATAGATTAATGATTTTATGGCGATGTGACACACCAGTAAAGAGCGCTTTATAATTGTGGCAAAGACAAGCCAAAACAGTCACTCGTCACAAAAATTTTGAGTTATTAATACAGTTTTAGAGGATAAAATAATAGCTATAAAATGGTAAAAAAATGAAGTTACAAGCGTTTAATCACACAGCTGATAAAGAACAATATTTGAGAAATCAGCCTTCAAAGTTTGATTTCAGGCATTTCTCATGTGGAAACTATCTTTAAATCCTTACAAATTATTGTTTTAACATTGAAAATGGGGAAAATAACAGCATAGAATGATATATAGATATATAAAGTTTAGTTTAGTGCAATAAAATAGATTTTTAAAAATTTGACATTCCAGGATGTTTTGGCCATTTTCTCTGTAACAAGATTTGCGACGAGTGACTGGTTTAGCTTGTCTTTGCCACAATTGCTAATTATAATCTGCTGTGAACTTTAAGGTTTGCAGAACTGTGATGTCATCCCACTATGTTTTCCAGTTCGATCTTATTATTTTCCGTCAAATTTCAGGTTATTCCTGCTAGGGGAAGTCTACAGATTACAGCAACATTCAGTCCATGTATGGTCTCTCTAACCCAAGCTAGAACTGTAGAGTGTGTTGGCTATGCATTGGGATTTATGAGTTTAGATGAGGAGGACGTTCGCTTCAAGAAGAACATCTTTGAGAGGCTGCATGGATATGATATGACACCATTGAGGCTGGATCTAACAGCTTTCATAAAACCAGCAATGTAAATTATAAGACTATTCTTAAAACTTTTTTTCTAATATCTTTTGAGAGCCAGTAACAAAAAATAACAGGTGCTATACAAATACTCCTATTTTATTTATTATTATTGATAAATAAATTGCATTAAATCCAGTACTTCCAATAAAGAAAAAAAAAGACAGTAACTCCAAAAAGAGATTTCAAAATGTCTGTCTTCTGGGGCTCCAGACTTTTTTCTGGGGCTCCAGACTTTTGCCATGGTGATTTTGTTGCTTTTGGGGCCCCAAAACACTTGTCTGAATAAATAAATGAAATGAAATGTCTTTTTTCTGAGTTACTGTTTTTGTTTTATTTAAAAGTAAAGAGAGAGAGAGAGACATTTTGAGATCTCAAAATGTCTTTGTCTCTTTTCTGAGTCACTGTTTTTGTTTTATTTGTAACTAATTAGTGGATCCTCTGGTTTTTGGAAACCAATACGTAGGTTGCAAAAGTTAATAAACTCCCTGAAGTGGCTTCTACAATACTAACTTTGGACTCCTGCACCTTACAAATTGTGTTTTGTTATCTGTAGGCTAACGATTGAGACATCGGATGATGATGGAATGTTGTACAGCACTGCCGCTAGTCATTTGCTTGTTGATGGCAGAATCAGCAAAGAATATACCAAGACGGGCTTAGCCACGTTAACAAACAGTACAGAAACACCACTGACATTCCAACTTGTTGTTCCAGAGCCATTCTACCTCAGCAATATTGAACCAGCCCACTTTGAGGGTGATCAAAGTTTCATCACTATCATACCAAGGCACAATTTACAGGTAAGAAATGACTACTGGTGTTGTTGGTGGTCATCAAGTTTAGCCGTCAAGCCATAAGATATCTGTCCGTCATTAAAGTATTTAGCAGCAGCATCAGCCTACATTTCCTACTATATTTGACAGAGAAAGGTCATTACTTCTTTAGTTTCCCTTTGTTACACAGTCAACATGAGCAGATTAGGAATTTAGCTACAAAGGACTTCTAAGATGTTGGCTGTCATGGAAAGGTTGTAGTAGCGCCCTTTGTACACAGTGTAGCATGAGTATGTTTGTTACTGTCCAGTTAATATTATAGCTTAAATTTTATATTTAATATGAGCCATCATTAATACAATTTGCCCTCCAATTCGAGACCACTTTGAGACCTGAAAATTTAGGGTGGTTTTGGGGTTAGGTCTCTACTTAGAGGGCTTGCTTTGTGTTCAAATATTGACGATGTGTTGTTTGGTTCTTTCAAAATCTGGTCTCAGAATTGGAGAGTGCTCTGTAGTTCCATTCTAATTTAAATGACTGCAAATGACTTAAATGACTTTAAATGCAAGTTAGAAATGAGCATGCCCAAAGAATAGCATTACAGTGGCGGGTTCAGGGGGTTTGGACGAACCCACTCTGTGAAGAAACGTAACAAAATACACTGGGTCCTGGCTTACAAAATGCATGCTTACCTACTTAGGCATAGATTGGCAGGTCGGTCAAACTATGCTTAGCCCAACCGCCTTCAATTAAATATAATTAAAAACACTTTTTGGTTCGAAGTCATACTATAATAATTTATGTACGTAAGTGCATTCTTTAGGCCGTCAGTTCATCGATCCATGGAAGAAAGACTACATATCCAACTACTCAATATTGTTGGAATAGAATAATATATTGCATTTGTCTTTGATTTTTTTTCTCTATGTATAGCCTAAGAATGAGATTAAATTTACGTGACCTTTTTCAAGAGGGGAAAAACCTCGAAAAAACACCTCATAAGTCGGGAAAGCTCATTTTCAGCCATCTAGGAATCAAAATTTTCCCGGGGGAAGGAACCTGGACCACCTTTCAATTTGGAGTTTTTTCTAAACATTTTGAACCCCCCTCTTTCAAATCCGGGATCCACCCCAGACATTAGCACCAGAGAGCAAGTAAACATTTGATTCTTTGTTTTATTTGGTTCACTACTCTAGTAACTTAACATACCCTTATTTGTACTTGCAGATAAAAGTTGCATTCCTGCTGTCATCGGAACTGATACAACGCTATCTAGATCTCCTACAACCCGACCAAGAGATGGAAGGCGTGGCACTAACAAAGCGTGACCAGGAAAGAAAATTCACCATCAACAAAGACCTACAGATTGTTTACAATAATTCATCCATTCAGGTATTAATATATACAATAATAACATACTCTATAGAGAACTAAATATCTGTTTTTGCAGTACCAAAATAATTTAAAAAGTCATCCATTCAGTGTGGTTAATGATTTGACCATTTGACACACAGTCCTCAGATTGTTAAAGGAGCTGTATAAACATCAAACAGTTATCATTAAATGAATTATTAATATTATGTCTCAGTGATTTGGTGTGCTTTAGCCTTTACTTGGTCAAGGCACCTGATGCTAGCTACCAAAATATGGCAATAAGCTTTTGTTTGAGTTTATTGTTGAACATATAGTAACAGTGACACCAATATATTGATGTTGAACCGTAAAATTCTTCAAAAATTATTAAAATTGATTTGGGTCAGAATGTCATTATAATTTTAATCCTGTTACATCAGGCTATTCCCCTATGTGCCACAGTAGTCATCCCGTCACTCATCCTGTCGAGTGACAACTTAAACTTTGGTGTATGCCTTGTTGGTCAGCAACGGGAGAAGGAGATTGTCTTACGGAATCCGACATCGTCTGCTAGCTTCTGGACAGCTGCCATTGGTATGTATGATAATCATTCTATTTAATTTAATAATTTAATTTTAATCTTACATATTATTATAAAGTACTTTTCTTAATGTTAATAATATTGAGTAATCAGTTCACGACATTTCAGAGTCTTGTTCATAATTATTTATACGAGTCAGGGGCGGACTTAGGAAACTTTTGGAAAGTAAAAAAAAAAGGGAAAAAACAGTAAGAAAGAAAATAAAAAAATTGAACACCAAAAACGACTGAGAGGTTATTTTCGGGCTTCTAAAAAACGAAAATTTCGTGGTAACATGCCCTGGAACCCCTAGGACGGTGTTATCTGGATCGGCCCCAATTTCAGCCCTCCCCCCCTTTTTGGACATCTCTGGATCCGCCCCTGTGAGTAATTTATCTATATAATAGTAATAGTGTAGGTTTATATAGCGCCATCTCCATCTAATATGATGCTCAGGGCGCTTGATATGGGGACTAGGAACTCGATCAATGTACTTAAATGTGTTTGCCCTGGGAAATTATGAACATTAAATTGAATTTTTATATTTCTAATAAAAACTAATAACTTTATTTAATTACGGAAACACTTGTTCACCTCAATTCACCTCAAATGTTTTTCAACAAGGCCATAAAGGCATTGTACAAACCAACAAAACAGACATTAGAACAAAATTGTAAACAAATTTCTCTGTCTTAATGGTATGTTTCAAATTGGTTAATTGTATTTTTAGTGTGTATTATTGATTTCTCTGTTGACTTATGTATGTTTCTGCTAATTACAGGATTGTTTTAATCAATATCAGCATTCATATACTACTGCTATTTTTTCACTGATTAAATTTAGAGTAGTAAAATTGTACAGTACAGTACATATAAAGGGGATATTTTTTTAGCAAGCACCCCAAATTATTAGTTTATCACTCACCATGCCTCTTGAGACTTTTAGACAAGTAAGGGCACCAAATGATTGGCTCGCTACTTCCTAGCCTTGAAAAAGGCTTACAGAGCATCAGTGCTTAAAAAAAATTACTATCCTCTCCCCAGCCTCATGAAGAGACGTAGTTATAGATAATCAAGTCTCCAAAAAATAGCTATCCACTCCCCAAGCCTTATGAAGAGACCTAATTATTTAATATAAGGGCCTAAAGTAGGTGGGTTCTCAAGCCTCATAAAAGATTGAGTTTTATAGCATCAAGGACATCAAATAATTGGCTCTCCACTTCCCAGGCCTTATACAGAGACTTAGTTTTAGAGCATTAAGGCCTGAAGGCTGAATTATTGGCTCATTTCACTATATTCTCATAAGATATGGTGGAGGCATTCCTTATTTCCATAAATATTTATTTTCTTTAACAATCAGATTGGTGTAGCACTCCGGATGATGTAGTGTTCTCGCTAACACCAAGCAGCGGCATGTTGGAAGCCTATGTGACTCATGTGTCCAATAGCAAGACACTACTAAAGGTTCACTTTACACCAAGGTAAGCCATAATGTGCCTTTTATACCCAGGTAAATGTATATATAATATTCAAATTAGGTTTTACTGCATAGCACCGTAAACACAATATAAATAAATGGATAAATAATACTAACAGCATAATTACGAAACAGCTGGTTATGCTTACAGTTCAAAAGTTATTTACCAACTGTGATTTGTACCTCATCACAGGGAAAATAGAGACCATTTTCTATAAGCCAACAGGTTTCTTCATTAAAACTCACCACCAATCACAGAGCAGGAAATATTCTTCCATTAAGTGAGCATCCTCCCTCTGCATTGGTTGTTACATTGGAGTACTGTATATAGGTGATATAAATTCTATTTGGTTTATGACTGTATTTCATTTTTTCCTTGTTCAGGCACAACATAGCGTACGATTGCATCTTCATTTTGAGCGGCATGCTTGGAGAAGAGCCCTGCTACCTAAGGGTCAAGGGTGAAGGCTCATATGATAGTCGCCATGAGGCATTAGTGAACATCTAAATATTGTGAAATTGTTGTTTACAACAATATATATTTTTAAGAAGCAACACTACTACAGGAACAAAAATCATATGTTTTTCTGTTTCTAAAGAGTGAATAACAACAAATTAATTTTGTTGGTAATGATGTAGAATTATTACATAGTTCTGTTTTTTCTAAATTGTATATCTTAAATTATGTATATTTTGTAAATATGTTTATTGTGAAATTATATTAAATTTATATTAAGTTATAGACCATTTTCTCAGTTTATTGTATTGAAGCTAACTCTTTAATTTTAACTATCATATTTTCAAGAATATTTTCTGCTTTTATAAAGATTGTATTTGCTGAAAGAATAAATTGTTGAAGATTACAGTTATTACTCACTTCTGCTACTGTATTTTGATATATTTAAGAATAGTGTGGAGATGGGTGTTACATAGAGAAGGTGTCTGTAGTGAGCTGCTTGGTCTTCTGATATTAAAACTATTGTAGTACCATGACTTATTCATCTTGTTCCCAAATGTCACAGATCATATTTCATCAATCAATTAATTAATATTGTGTTTTGGCCAAAAGGTGTGTGAAATAGAGTTTACATAAATGTCTTGTGAACAAACATTCTGATAAAACATAACACAATCGCCGATTGTATGCACATAGCTGTCCAAAGTTCATGAAGCAAATGACATCTCCAAAAAAATTGGTAGGCTAGTGATTATGGCGCCAGACTAGTTACTTGGAGGTGGAGTGTTCGATTCCGACCCCAATTACTTGCAAATTTATTTTTGCAAGTATTGGGGAACATACTGAGTATTTGATATTAACATGTCGGGTAGGGCAAAACATCGCTTTTATGACATTTTGATGATTCAAACTCGCATCGAAATCACATCAAAATTTCAAAGAAACTCATTATATTGATGCCTTTTATTGTGATAGGCACTGGCTGACGTTTTGTGCCTCTATTATAATTGGATTTTTTTTTTTCTATTGTAGGCACATATTTTTTGTTTAATTGTGTTAAGATGACCAGTTCTAGTGCAAATCTAAAATTAGGTTTATTGAAAAAGGAATCTACAGTGCTTTACGTGTTGCAAATTTAGTATGTTGTGGTGAGAAGCAAGAGCGCGCCACAGTAACGTGAATCCTTAGAGACTCGGTTGACAATCGCCTGGGCAATCGCCAGATGGTGTCACGTCGTCTTGCGCTTAGACTGAGCGGAGTTGGATTCGTCATATTTTAAACCGATTTTTAGCGAAAAAACAGATTTTTCATTTAAATTTAATTTCATATCCTATCATACAAATTTGATCAAGATTTTGTATTATTCTCTCCTAACTAGCGGCCATTTTGAGAACAAATCGTTAAATTGGGGAGGGAATAACAACATGTCTTTTATGAGTTGTATGTGCATTTTGTGTTGTTTATATTTACATTTAATTGTAAAAGTGAAGAAAATGTCAGCCCTCCTCAAATACTATTCCTTTAAAACGTATTATATAGTAGAGTATTATAAAAAAAATTTTGCACAATTCCGAACAAGTGAACTATGAAAAGACGATCTTGATGCTTGATAAATAAGAAAAACTAACTTACAAACTACGCATTGTTATAATATGCCAAAAATAATAATATAGTCATTCGCATTACTGTAACATTGTCAATTTGCTTTTTGGCTGTCCATTTATAAAAACAGACAAAATATCGTAACTTAAATGCAAATTCGTTGAGAATATTTGTTAATAATGTAGAAATATTTATAAAAATTAAGTACTTAAAGCAATTTATTTAGAAAAATCATTTGAAAAAAGCCTGTTTGTTTGATAATTACTTTGATTTTATTATGTGAAATGGACCGGAGACCTTGTTCATGAATAATAGGCCTATAGATTCTTCCGAGGCTTTGCTTGGCCTTTATAAAAATAGTTTCCTGTTTCAACTGCTTCAAGCTCAATGTTGTTATTAAAAATAAAAGTAAGTCACTTCATTAACCATAAGGAAAATAAACCTGATTTAGTTTGCTTTCTTAATTGACCAATTATACAAAATCATTTTGCCTGTAATTTATTGCGTGCTTTTGTGTACTTTTATAATGATGGAGTACTTAGCTATTGTTTAATCAGGGAACTAATTATCAAAAATAAACTTTTTAAAAATGCAGACCTGTCATGATTTGTTTGAAGTAACGCTTGTTTCATGGCCATCATTTTCATATAAATCAACTCATTTAACTCGTTATTTATTTATAAAATTTTACATAACAGTAGTTCTAAACGTGTTCAAAGTAACGCACGGGATAATTGATAATTGACCTTGTGTCAATAGCGCCACCAATATTAAAAGTTGCGCTTGCGCGAACCATGCGTGGACCACATGGTGGTGAGGGCTCCACCTCCTCCGGTTGTTGTTGTGGACGCTGTATCAAATTTGGGCCTGGGGTCTACATCAACCTGCCAAATTTGATTAACTTGTACTCTAATGTTCAGTAAAACATGGAGGAGTGAAACAAGTCGGCCTTACAACATGTAAACAAACTACAACAAGACAACGCATTTCATCAAGGTATATTTTAGATTGCCTCTTCCACCAGAGAGATGTAAATTAATCTCCCTGCTTCTTCTGTACTTCTTAGGTAGGTAGGCCTAACTAAGCCCGAGCAGACATATACTACTTTACTGTCATCGAAGCAAATTTACTAGGATTCTCTGGATAGACCTAGCCTAGTCCAAGTTTAGTCCCAGACGAAAATCCTCTTCGTTTTATTAAGATCATTTAACTCGTTTTTAAGATTAACATAATGTTTGCACCATGATATTCAAACGTTTTGATATTATTATTATTAGTATACCTAGGTCTAGCCTAGTTTACAAGCAAGTCCTGTAGGCTGTGTAGTAGTAGGCCTAGTAGAGGCCCAGTAATAATAATAATAATAATATTAGCATTTTTTCAAGGTGTCAGTAATCCAGTATCACTTAGAAAGCCTTTGTATTTGTATGCCAACCATAGTAACAAATTATATTTTAAAAAAAGAGTTTACAGATGCTCAATTATACTGGTTAAAAAAAGCCAATAATTTGCTGTTAATGTTATTGATTTTTCTGAAAATTTTGGAGAATTTAAAAAAAATTCTTGAGAGGGAAGATTGTTCAAAATTTGGGAGAATCCTGATTGTCAGTTCTCGTAATAAATATATGTTTTATGATTGATGAAAAAAAAAGGGAAAAAACGTATAATTGGCCTAACTTGTACTGAAGCGATGTCTTATCCTAACAGCTAAAATGCGCTATTCGACAACATGAACATTTCTAGATCCCATCCGTTTAAAAGCCAGCGAAAAAAGTTTTCCAAATTAAGTAGTTTCAACATTGTAATGTTGAAAGTATTGATTACATGCTCTGATGACATTATATTTCTCTGTGATAATAACAAAACCTAAATAATGTGATACAATGCCATATTATGTTACATAAGGACAAATATAAAAAAGTAAACTTTAAATCACTGACTAAAGCCTGGTTCGCACTGGATTTAAAAAATGGTAAATTTAACCAGGGTAACTTTAACCAAAGTCATGGGTACAATTCATCATTGTTCGCACTTGGATTATTCACGCGGTTAGTTTTACCAAGATTTAACCTTGTGTATAAAAAATATTATTGAGGGCACTAGTTTGTGACTTCAACTTCCGGTTTTTTTCGAGCAGTGTCAATATGGACGAAGTTTTAACCGTGTTGCACGTTCGGATTGGACTTCTTGACCAGCGTGGTTAGTTTAACCGAGACCGTGGTAAGTTTTACTGGGCAGGCTGAGGTTGGTAAAATTAACCATTCAGCTTGGTTAATTTAACCCTGAGGGAATTGTAACCGACGTTCGGATTGGATTTTTTTTGGTCAATTTAGCCAGTGACCGGTTAATTTGACCAAATTAAGTCCAGTGCGATAGGGGCTTTAAAGGTTCTCCAGTGAACATGAAAGAATGAAACAGACACAAAAATTACAAACATAAACATAAAAATGTGATTTAAATACAGTTTCATAAGAACTCACAATTCAATGTACAAAGGAAAAAATTCAATTCAAATTACAAAAAAATTTACAATTATTTGGATTCCACACTTGGGACTTCCCTCCACGTATCCACGATTATTCCTACAAACAGAGGCATATAAGAAAAATAACATAAGCTGCGAGTGATGCATGATGGTGCATTTATAGTGGCCTGCTCAAATTTAATAAATCAATTTATTTTGTCTCAATAACAAATAAATTTTTTGTGGTTAAAAGGCCAACAAGGTAGTATGAATATTTAACTTGTTAAAAAATTGTAGACAGTGGTTCTTTTTAATAGTTTTATTGTTTTTATTATTTCTACAGTATTATATTATTTAAAAAATTGTTATTAAATTATAATTATTTAAGTTATAATTGTAGAAATTATTACATAATACTTACAATGTTATTTATTATTATACTGGCATTTTAATATTTTTATGACCTGCCTAATTAATTTGCATTTGGGTTGTTGGATAGTATTACAGATGGCTTCCATTTGATACTTTAAAAAATTCTTAGTTTTTTTAAACATTGAGTAAAATATTACGTACCCTTAGTGTCGTAGCTTTTCTCCTAACCCCTGTTAAAAATTACATAACATCCAACTAGCATAACATACAGACTTTGATAATAATGAACCATATTAATGTGACACATTAAGTTGAATGAGAACAAATAAATGGAAAGAAATGAACATGCCCTTGAAATATTGAGAGAAAAAACATTAAGCAGTTGTTTTCCATCATCAACGGAAGGAATTGCTGGCAAGTTCAATGATCGGAATGTTGTAACTCAGTCGGAAGAAAGAACTCAGGAATTGTACCCCAAGCGAAGGCAGTAAATATCAACAGTTAATGTCCCACACAGTAACATGTATGTTGCGCTGATGTGATCATGGTGTGATCAATTCCCACAAGGTTACAAGTAAATACGTTGAATCTGGGAAACGATATCTTACTCAGCTGCATTAGGAATCATGTCACCTTTACTGGCTATCTGCTTTTATATTTTGAAACTATGTTTACTGTAATGTTCTCATTGATTTTAATCATTCAGTTTTGATTTGTTGGGTTCGCATTTGCTATAACAACATTATTTTCCCTCCCAAAATGTTGATCAACATCTGCATTAACCAACTAATAAGTTTATTGGGATCCTCATCTGTTGCGAATTAAATCTACGCATGAGTGAAGGTCATTGACTTTAGTAACAGCAAGGTCAAATCCCTATTAAAGATTGATTATGCAATTTGTTATAAATTCATAGTTAATATGACATCATTTTAAGTCTTTATTTTTGAATGGGTATACAGTTAGGCCTAGTAAAATTTCAGAAGAAACAACTCCTGTATTTTTAGTGTTTAAAATGATGGAATTATGTCTTAATATTCTTAAAAATCTTGGACAAAATATTAACCTGCAGGGGACAAGGTCAGAGCCATCAGTGACCCTAAAGGTCAGTTTCAAATTCAATTATACTTGAGGGGAAAGGATTTTACTACCAAACTTGTTCTTCCTTTCAGATCAGATGAACTACTGATTAGAGAAGTCGCATAAAAAGCACTTTTAAAAAAGGTAAGAATCTCAATTTTTTTTTTTTTTACCTAGGATTGAATTTGTTTTTGTTTCTGTTGGCATTATTCATATAAATTCTTTCCATTACATTATTATTTATATTTGAACATTTTCTTGGTATTAATCCTTATCATAACAATTTTTAAATAAAGTTTCAATTACTGTATAAGTAAACCAAACAATTTGCTAAATTAATACCTGTTATTGAAACATTTTAACAATTTTCAAATTTTAATGAAACTAGTTTGATTAAAGTTAAATAATAGGGTTGTAAAACTATGTGATGACCTAGTTTATGAGCATCACTCATTGAAGGTGCCATGTTATCCTTTTCAGGGGCTCCGTGCTAAACACAGCAAACACTTTAGTACTGATGCTTAAGTGTAGGTGATAACATTGTCAACGCTCATTTTTCTTCATCTTGAGGGAAGTTAATTGGTTCGATCCCAGCGGCCCCTATTTTCTTTACTTCACCGCCTTGCCTATAAAATATTAATAATACTTTTGAAGTGACAAGCCTAACATTCATCTTCCCTCATCATAACCCATTTCTTTGAATTTGCTTTCATGAATTAAGTCAAGCAGTGCCATTGAGACACCAAGAAAATAAACACACAGACAATCTGTTTATTTATACTTTCAGAATTATCCTCATAGTCATAGCTGTCACTACTAACTACTGTTTCTTTATAATATCTTGGCTTCACAAATTCAGGGTAGTTGTTATACTACTACTAAGTTACTACTACCCAGAACTGCAATAATATTGCTAGGCTAAATTAAACCTCTGAAATAGGTACCTGTTACCTGGGGAAATGGTACATGCACAGCAAGAATAAATAATGTTATTTTATTAACAGTAGACAGGGAGATAAACAAAGTACTTGTACTGTAGTGTTATAACAAAATTCTACTTAAATAACTTTAACATATTGTTGGTTGATTTCAGAACATTTAGTATCATAATTTTTAAAGTTTTGTTTTAAGTATTTTAAAACTGTATTTAAAAGCTTTGAAAAAATAATTGCTGAAAAGTATGGTAAGTTGTGAACTAAACTAATTTGTATCCTATTTTTACTCTCATGGATATTCAAATGCCAGGTTCAATGAATATATTCACCTATAAAAATTGACCTTTCAAGTAATAGTACTGTATTTTGTTGCTCCTGTTAAACATAGAATTTGTATGTTTATTGTAGTTTGCAAATGCTGTCCAATGTTTAAAATACAGACAAGATATCATTTTGCACCTCTTATACAGTAGGCCAAATGGCTCAGGTGTACCACCTACAGGTGAGATCAATCATACACCTGTATAAACTTGAGTCTGAAGCCTACAGTATGTACAATTTTTCTTAATAATGAATAGCATTACTATACTATACTAAATACTGATGTCCATCATAAATACAAGTAATAAAAAAAATTGCCTTAAAGACTGATGAATAATTAATAAAAAATCTCATTTGATATTATTTATTTTGCTGTTAAAACATTGCACTCAGGAATTTAAGAATGTGTTATTTTTACAAAAATGAATTTGTATTAATTAAAGTCAGTTAAAATTAAAAGAAACCCTAATGATTAAAGGATAAGTTGTCCTACTTCACTCGCATAGTGTTGGAGGAGGGGTTCATAGCAAAATAATCCTTGTTCTCTTTGTTATTTTGTATAAAAATAAATAGCATTTCTGCTCCCACTCAACATTTGAACTAGTGGGTGATTTCAATTTAATGTGATTTGTTATATTACTATTATTAGTATTAAAATATTTGTTAATGGCTTTTACAAAGACATTAAATTTTAGTCCTGCGGTAATAGAGTGCAGTCTTAAAAATATGACAGTATGTAATGTAATGGGATCTCGTAAACTATAATTAGGAATATTTAACCAAGATGGATTATATTTAACATAACTTTCACCCAGCAGAATAGGTTTTTGCCCTATAGCGCCCTTTATATCGGACAGGTCCTTTCCTCCTGGGAATCCCCCAATGCGTCAGACATAGATCCTCCACCTGTCACTTACTGTATTTATGAGTACCTTTGGGAGTTGTATATTATATCTGCAATGTCAATTCAAGGTACAGATCATAACCAATTTGTAGTTAGCTTGCCTCGTTCTCCTGGATGCAACAGAAGATGTCAATAGCCTCTCTTGCTGGAGTGGCATGCAAGTGCTGGCTTGTGACAGCTGTTTAGGGAATTACAAGAGCCACAAATATGAGTACTGAATTGGCCTGCCACATTTACTTTGGAAGTATTTCTTATGTGCCTATTACAATGTTGAGTGGCCAAGAACATAAATCACACTGAATGATATATAGACCTAGAAGGTGGCTTTTTAATTTACTATGTATGTATCCAACAACTACATACAAAAAATTTAAATTAATATAAGGTTATAATAATGTAATTCGAACCCCATACAGTCAATTAACTTTCCACATAACACGTTTACCTTTACCACTCGACTACACTTCACCTGGCAAGTACTGTATGTATAGTAATATTATACCCCTATACAACAACAACCAGCAGATTGAGTGAATCAACTATGTAAATAGATATGGCACGACTGGGCGAGGGTTTGTAATCTTAGATTATTTTGTTATTTTAATATTGATGTTCACGGGCACGGATTTGTTTTGAAAGGTGGGGGGAATTTATGGAAATAGTACCTCTAGATCCCACAACATTTTAAAGCTGGTGGCCAGTTCCAATCTGTCAGAAAAATTATATATTTTTGTTTCATGGACTGGATCAAAATCTTTAGCAGGCCATAGTTGGGGCGCTTGCTGGATAGCAGGGCTTCATATGGCCGGAAAATGACACTCTTATATTAACATTCATCATCATGTACTCTGGCTCTACAGCGCTCTTTCTTGGTCTTTTATGCAGTTCATTTCAATTTACAGGCATCTTCTTGACTTAAGAAATTATATTGCAGTCGAAGTGAACGTGAGAGAGAGAGCAAAACTTATAATCAACCCTCCGATTTTGGAGTTTTTAGTTTTGTGTACAATACACAAAAACTCCAAAATCAATGTTTTCAAACTTTCAATCAATGCAGAAAATCCAAAATCGAAGGTTTGAATTAAAGTTTCGTAAACTCTGATTTTGGAGTTTTCGCTTATGATACACAAAACCTCCAAAATCAGAGTTTTGGCGGTGGGTGCAAACACTCCAAAAATGGAGTAACTACATACATGCTATATAGAGGGAGCTTGTTTAATTAATAGTACGCAGAAACTCCAAAATCGGAGGCTTGATTAAAAGATTGAAAACTCCGATTTTGGCTTTTTCAATTATAGTAAGCAAGTATGAGATACCTATACTAGAGTTTACACAAGTAACCACACAAAACAACTTTTTTGTAGCCTATTAAACTGCTGACTGGTAGGATATTGCAACAGTTAATATATATTGGAAATAATTTACTGAGCCTTCACTTACCTAGGTCCTGGTGGAATTGTTGTGCGTTGGTTAGAATTTATTCCTGAATTAATGGATGCAAATGAAATTCATGAGGAACCCCCAGAGTGTGTTGCCTATTAATAAATTTGTTGAAATGTATTTCTGTGGCTTTAAACAGATGCCTGTGGCTATAAGAAACATTGCTTTATAAACTTAAATATTTTTGAATTGCGCCCCCTATAGGCCTATCCAAAATAAAAGATCCTGTCACTCAAATAGAGAGGCTAATCCTGGTTTTTACACATCCATATCAACGTTCTTTGATTAAAAATTGTAATATAAGTATATTGTATTACCTAAAGGAAAATTTAATTGATATTCAGCAATAATAAATTTCAAACTCTGCTGGTTACACTAGCCTCTATTTGGTTTAAGAGAGAAATTATAAATTCAGTATCGTGTAATTGTTTCATTTGAGTGAAACTACATACAGTACTGTATTCCCACATGGGGTCTAAAAGCAG